GTATGTGAATATTGTGCACTGTGCATACGTGAATAATTTTAAAAATTAGTACTAAACATATGTGTACAACTTTAAAATATATGCTTTATAAAATTTATTAATAAGATGTTTTTAATATTAATATTTAGATTTCTGATTTTGAATTAAATTAGTAATATGTTTATTTTGAAATTAGTAATCTATAAATAAGCATATTTATATAATAATATTTTATAATTATAAATTTTTTTTTGAATTTTATATTTAATTTTGAAATTTCAAAATAAAAATAAAATTTTCAAACCTTTATTTATTTTTAAATAAGTTAACTAATAATTTTTTAAGATTATAAAGTGTGGTTAGCTAGTAAAATAAACAGGTTGTTAACTCCCAAGTGGCAAGTCTAGAGTTCAAATCCTAGTGACAATAAAAATTTGCAATTCTTTCTGTATTATAGTTAACTGTCTTTTGTAATTGGTTGAAATTAGATACCTGTAACCTGTGTCATACCAATATGACTAGAAGGTTTAGGCATTTGTACAATGTTATATAAACACAAACTGGTACCAGATAGTGTGAACCTATAATAAGTTCTTAGATCATATAAATTACAAGAACTAGGTAGAAAGACAGAAGTTTATTTGAAAGATCCAAATAAAAAGGTAGCTCAAACTTTCAATGATACTACTATAAAGATTAGACTTATAAAACAGAGTTAGAACTTATAAAGTCAGACAAAGAGTCAGTCTTTGAAAAAGAGCTAAATAGAATCAACTAGGTTATTAGGATCTGTTTCAAAAGAAAAGATTATATGTTGAAGAATATATAAACTAGAAATATGATTATAATTTATCTCTCTAGATTATTTAGTTTGGAAGCTTGGTAGAACTTGAATTGAATATCAAAATAGTAAAAATATATTATAAAATTAGTACTAAAATTGGAGTAAACTCTACAAGAGCATAACAGTTTAATAGTATGTTCTAACTATAAGTGTTAGTCTTGACTATACTAATACCAGATTAGCTATAAGAATAGAATACAGAAAATTCTGAAATATTTAATACAAGATCAAAGGTTTCTTATATAAGTAAACTGCTTTAAAGACTTAGTAGTTATGATATATTTTTATTGACATTAGTTAGAATTGTTAATAGACAGAAGTAAGTAAATAGATATAGGAACTAGAGTGTTTAAATAAAGAACTTATAAGCAGATTCTAAGTATAGCAGCTAGTGTAAAACCTTTGAGCAGATTACTTAAATTAAATAATAACTAAAGTTGTATAAGTGACTAATTGTACAATTTTTCTATAGTTATTTCTGTAGTTGTAATGCAACTATTAGTTAAATATAATATTAATAAAATCCTGGATTACCAGCACTTATCTTAATATTTAAAAAAAAACTTTTTAAGATTATGAAAAGTTTTAGTTAGAAAGTAGATAAAAGATTAATTATTAAATAATAATATATTATAAATAATATATATAATTAATTAATTAATAGATATTATTAACTATAATTTAAAAAATTTAATAATTTGATAATATATAAAAATATTCTAGTTTTAATTTAGTTTAATCTATTTGTATAATGGTTTAATATTTTGAACTCTTGTTTTTATTCTAAAATTAGAAATTTAGTGCTTTAGTTTGTCTTTTATAAATATATCTATAGGTATCTATAAGTAACTCAACTTATATAAAGTTCTAGTATATAAGAGAGATGAGGGTATTGTAGACAGAGAGAGTATTGTGATCAAGTAGAATAACTTATGATTCAGTGATTGAAATTAAATAATTTTGGCACCATTTAATTCATCTCTTTAAGACAAATTGAATGGTATCAAAATTATCTAGTTCTAATTTTTAGATTATGAAATATATATATTTAAAAAAACTAACTTTTTATTTAAATAAAATAATTGTAATATAACCAAAACTACATGTTTGTATTTAGAAAATTAACTCTTGAACATTAAATAATGTTGTTCACATCAAATTTTATTAAAATACAGCAATTTTTATTAAAATACAGCAATTTTTATTAATACATAGTTTTTTAATAAAATAAAATTAGTAATATTGTATCTAATTAATAAAAAAAACATGCATATATATGCATATATACAATTATGAAGTATGGTAGTAATCTGTTTTCTGTAATATATAAAAGAATCACATCAGTAAAGAAAAAATTATCAAATATGATCAAGCATTGATACTTAACAATTTACATGTTTTCTTTTTAGAATTTGTAATGTCTCTTGTACTTGGTACAGAAATATAAAAAAGTCATACTTATATTTATCATGTATCAGTCACATTAAATATTACATTTTGTTAATTAAATTTGATGTTTTAAAAGTTTAAATTGGAATTTTTTTTTATATCTTTATGCTTATTGTATTTAAGCAAATTAATTAATTAACCAAAAAAATTTTTTTATTTTAGTACACAAGTTATAAATTTCATACATTTACATGATTTTTCTATAAACATGTCAAGAGCCTCTAATAATAACCAATATGAGCTTGATTATAATTGGCATAAAAAAATTCTTACTGCACTTAATAAGCATAAAAATGACCCTAACAAAAGTGTAAACAAACTAGCAAAAGAGTATAAAATTTCTAGAACAACTCTTATATATGTAATACAAAATAATAGCTCTCCAAACTGTTTGGATCTCTTTATTGTTTTAACTAAGCATAAAGAAAACCAACTTATTGACTATTGCATTAACATGTAAAATCTTGGATTTGGTTTAACTAAGTCTGGCATTAATTATAATAAAAATAATGTAAATTAATAAGTAACAACATTTGTTTGGTAATAATGGGCCAGGTCGAGACTGGTAGGTCTGTTTTATAAAAAACCATTCTAAGCTATTATTTCATGTCCTCCAAGAATTATTCAAAGCTCAAGCACAAAGGGCAAATGCAACAATTGTTAAAAACTATTTTGATAAACTCAAAAAATAATTAATGAAAATTCATTTACTTCTATACAAATTTAAAACATAAATAAGACTGGGTTCATTCTTATATCTAAGTTAGAAAAAGTAATAATAAAAAAAGAAGCATGACAAGTTTATAAAGTTGCATATAGAAATTTTCATAATCATATTTCTGTTGCTTTTACAATTTTAGCCATCAGGTTATATATTCTCTCTTTAATAATTTACAAAGATATCTGTATAATTTATGGTCTGTTGGAAGGTATGCCTCTAGAAACTGTAATAGGGTTACTAATAGCAGGTACATGCAAGAAGATCTTTTTAAATATATATTACCTACTTTAACAATTCTGTTCTATCTATTCATCCTGTATTGTTAATGCTCAATAGTCACAAAAGTCATATAAGTTATATAAGTATTAAGTTTTGTTATATAAATAGAATTTTTCTTTATGTGCTTCTTTTCCATACAATACACATTTTATAACCATCTGAAATTCTCTTTGCAAAGCTAAAAAATAAATATAAAAAAGAAAATAATAAATATTAAAATAATAATAATAATAAAATAATAATAAAACATACTTTTGTAAAGGTTTTTAATGCTGCTTTTCTTGAAACCTATACACTGTAAGCTATTCATAACACTTTTTAAAGTACAGGAATATGGCTGTTTAATCTTGATGCTATTAGTCCAGACTGCTTGGACCTTTTATTAATAGCAAAATAATTTAATATAGTACCTTCAAATAGTTAACCTTCAACCAACCAACCTTTAACTAACTAAACTTTAACTAATCAATCACTTTGTATACAATTTGTTAAATTATTTTAACAACTCTCTAACAAACTAAATTATTTTTAATTAATTATTCAAATGTTACCCTATTAAAAAAAAAAAAGAAATTCTTAAAAATGGAAATAAAATACTTAAAAACAAAAATGAAATATTAAAAATTCAATTCACAATACTAAAAAAAGAATTAGAAACTTATAAAAATCTAAGAACATGTTCTTTGTACTTAGTTCTTAAGTATCCAGTTTCTTGAACTTCTTAAGCTAAAATACTGAAAGCTTTTTCAGATCAATGAAAATCTGAATCATCTCATCTAAAAAAAAGAAAAACTCTTTCATTTGCATGGCTTCTCATTTGTAAAGAAAGTTAGGAGCAGTTAAAAATTGCAAGAGAAGAAGCAAATAAAAAAATTATTAAAGCAACCTAAAAAAAAGAAATAATGGCCCCTAAAAAAAAGAAAGAGCCTAACAAAAGAAAGAAAAAGCATAACAAAAAGAAGAAAAAACATAACAAAAAGAAGTAAAGAAACAAGAAAATGAAGAAAAAGCATGAAAAAATGAAGAAAAGGCATAATAAAATGAAGAAAAGGAATGACAAAATAAAGAAAAAATATGACAAAAAGAAAGATGTAAGAAAATTAGAATTAAATAAAAAAAATTTTTTTTTGAATTGATTACAATACCTCCTCTTCTGCTAAAATTAGAATTTTATACCTTTTATATAATGTTTATTTATATTTCAAATTAGTTTGTTGTACAATGTTTTTTTAAATTAGTTCTACTTTGTATTAGGTATAGTTTATATAGTAATTATAGCATAGAATTTTAAGTATACAATAAAAAGTTTTACTAGTAAGAACCTTAAGGTGTTCACAATCTCCTATCTCTCTTATATAATAAAAAAATTAATTTTTTTATTTTTAATTTGTATGATAATATTAAATATTTATTTTATTCATATATTAATTAATTTTTTTTTTGATATTAAGATAATCTTTTTGGTCTTTTGACTTTTATTAATGACTTTTTTAATAATATAATTCTATGAACTATTACAGAAGAGAATACAATTGGTTATATATATAACTTTTTTATATTACTTATTTAAAAAGTCTGCTTAAAAGTTCTTTACTAATTGTTATATCTAATACTCCTGCTTGGGTGTTCTACTTTAAACTCTTTGAATTTGTAATCTGTATTAACTTACTGGATTATACTCAGATACTCAGATCATCATCTCAACCTTAAAATTATTTTATCCTTAAGGTAAACCCTCCAGAGTCTTTTGTATCTATTTTTCTAACTAATCTAAATATTACTATAGCAGAACCAACACTTGCAGTTAAAGTTATATTATTTAACTGCTATGCTATTATAGAGTTCACACAGACTCTAGCATATACTTTATAGTATAACTCTAGTACTTTAGTATACTCTTGACTTTTCATTTGCCTTTTTACCAAACTTTCAATTTAGAAAGCTTGTGTAGGACTATAACTAGTTCATTAGTATATCAGGTTGGCCCAATATTCTTTTTTTTTAATTCATTCTGATAGTCTAATTAATGATATTTCTGAGACTTCCAACCTGAAAATTTTTTTCTGTCCAGCTATTATGACCTTGGTATCTGTTTTCTCAGGCTAGCTCTCTACTCAAGTCTTCCTAAATGAACTTTTTGTTATCTAATTTTAATGAATTTATATAGCTATAAAGACTTATCTAGTATTTACACTATCTAATTTGTTAGTTTGCATTTCTCTGTATAACAAGTTATACAGATATCTAATGATCTGCTAATCATGCTAGTATGACTACCATTACAGGTATCCTAATCTAATTGTTAGTAACAGTTGTCATAATTTGATTAAATTTTATATTTAGAATTATAATTATATATACAATATAATTTATATGCATATAGTTAAAATAGAGATGTAATGACCTAGTAAAGTGGATAGGTTGTCAACTTTCAAATAGCAAGTCTAGAGTTCAAATCCTAGTGATAGTGAAAATTTGCAATTTTCTATGTTATGATTAACTGTCTTCTGTAATTAGTTAAGATTAGATATCTGTAAACTATATTATATTAGTATAACTAGAAGGTTTAAACATTTATACAATATTGTATGAAGAAACACAAACTAGTACTAGGCAGTATGAACTCAAGATAAGTTCTTAGACTATGTAAATCACAGAAACCAAGTAGGAAGATGAAAGCCTACTTAAAGACCTAAGTAGAGAGATAACTCAAACTTTTAATAGTACTACTGTAAAGACTAGACCTATAAAACAGAGCTAGAATTTGTAAAACTAGGCAAATATGCTAGTCTTTGAGAAGGGACTGGATGAACCAACCAGGCTGCTGAAATTTTTAGATTTCAGAAAAAAAAAGTATATACTAGCAAATATATAAACTAGAGGTATAGTTTTGTTCTAACTTTCTAAGCTATCTGAAATGACAGCTTGGTAAAACTTGAATTAAATACCAAAATTGTAGGGATATGTTGTAAAGTTAGTACCAGGATTGAGATGAATTTTACAAGAGCTTAGCAATTTAATAGTATGTCTTGACTGCCAGTATTGGTCTCAGTCATAGTAATACCAGGTTAGCTATAAGAATAAAATACAAAAAATTTTAGAAGGTTCAGTACAAAATCAAAGATTCCAAAGAACTGCTTTAAAGACTTAGCAACTATGGCATATTTTTACTACATCAGCTAAAGTCATTGATAGGCAGAGTTAAATAGATGGATATGAAAACTAGAATGATTAAATAGGAAATCTACAAGCAGATTTCAGGTATGACAGCTAGTATAAAACCTTTAAGTGGACTACTTAAATTAGATAATAACTAAAGTTGTATAAGTGGCTAGTTGTACATTCTTTTCATGATTGCTTTTTGTAATTGTAATGCAACTATTAGCCAAATATACTATTAATAAATCCTGGTTACAAGTATTTACTTTAATATTTAAAAAAAAAAGCATATAGTTAAAATTTTATTAATAGTATTAATATACTATATAGACAAAAAGTTAATAAACTATATATATATTTCTAGTTAAAACATTATGAATTTTTTTTAAAAAAGATATTTGGAGTACATTGTATATATATTGCTTATAATAATTAATTATATTAAAATTTAAAAATAAAATACAATATTAATTATTTTTATATATAATTAGTTACAAATTTTTGTAAAATTTTTTTATATTTAATTTTTAAAAAATATTAAGTAGTCAATCTTTAATTTTTAAATAAAACTTATAAAATAAGTTTTTTTAATTTTATTAATAGCAATATTATTATAATTAGTTAAAAACCTATTAAAATAAAAATTTTAAATCTAGGGTATAGTAATCTAGTGAAGTAGATAGGTTGTCAACTCCCAAGTGGCAGGTTTAGAGTTCAAATCCCAGTAACAGTGAAAATTTGCAATTCTTTCTATGCTATGACTAACTGTCTTCCATGATTGGTTGGGATAGGATACCTGTAATCTGTATTATACTAGCCTGACTAGAAGGTTTAGGCATTCATGCAATATTGTATAAAGAAATACAAACTGGTACTGGGTGGTGTGAACCCAAGATAAGTCCTTAGGCCATGTAAATCATAGGAACCAGGTAGGAAGATGAAAGCCTACTTGGAAGACCCGAGTAGAGAGGTAACCTGAACTTTTGACAGTGCTACTGTAAAAACTAGATCTATAAAATGAAGCTAGAACTTGTAAAACTGGTCAAAGAGCTGGCCTTTGAGAAGGAGCCAAATAGAACCAACCAGGCCATTGAAATTTCTGGGTTCCAGAGGAAAAGGTTACATGATGACAAACATATAAACCAGAGGTATATAGTTATGATTTGCCTTTCTAGGCTATCTGGTTTGGGAGCTTGGTAGAACTTGAATTGAATACCAAAGTAGTAGGGATATGTTGTAAAGTCAGTATCGAGGTTGGGGTGAACTCTACAAGAGCATAGCAGTTAAATGGTATGCCCTGACCACTAGTGTTGGTCTTGGTCATAGTGATATTAGGTTAGCTGTAAGAATGGAATACAGAAGATTCTGGAAGGTTTAGTACAAGGTCAAAGGTTCTCCATGTAAGTGAACTGCTTTAAATACTTAGTGACCATGGCATATTTGCACTGGTATCGATCAGGGCATCTTGGTAAGTATAGGTAGATGGGTGGATACAGGAACAGAATGGTTAAATAGGGAACTTACAAGTAGGTTTCAGGTATGGCAGCTAGTGTAGAACCTTCAGGTGGACTACTTAAATTAGACAATGACTAAAGTTGTACGAGTGGCTATTGTATACTCTTTTCATAATTGCCTCCAATGGTTGTAATACAACCATTAGCTAAATGTACTATCAATAAATCCTAGATCACAAGTACTCACCTTAATATTTAAAAAAAAAAAAAAAATTTTAAATCTTAGAATATAAAACTATCTAAGGTTAAGTTAGTAAAAATTAAGCAAATATTTTTTAAAAAGGACATAATAATATAGTAAAATAGTCATATTGTCATTTTTCAAATAATAGGTCTAGAGTTTAAATTTTAATATTGATAAAAATTTAAATTTCTTTTTGTATTATAGTTAATTGTCTTTTGCTATTAGTTAAAATAAAATATATATTACTTATATTATACTAACATAACTAGAAGGTCATATGATATTTATACAATAGTTGTACCTTGTATAAAGAAACACAAACTGGTACTGATAATGTAAACTTATAATAAGTTCTTATGTTTATATAAATTACAAAAATTAAAAAGATAAAAGCTTACTTAGAAAAGCTAAATAAAAAGATAGTTTGAAATTTTAATAGTCTATTGTAAAAAC